CGCAGCAGCGCTCAAACACGACATACTGTACAGAAACAAAGACGTAACATTCAGACACCAAGCAGACAAACAAATGATAGACGAACTCGAAAATATTCCCAATCCCACTTTCAAAGAGAAATTACAAAGGGCTCTTATCATAAAACTCTTGAAGGCAAAATTGAAATTGGGTATGGGCATAGCAGACGAGATTCACAGAGAATTTCGAAAAAACAAACATTACCTCAAAGTCAAAGTTTTTGATAAAGATGAAATTTGGTCAGCCGATTTAATCAACATGCCAGTCGAGAGAGGTTACAAGTATTGTTTGACGGTGATCGACATATACACGAGATACGCTTGGGTCTTTCCCTTGAAAAACAAATCGGGTCTGACTGTCAAACAAGCATTCGAAACCATAATGAAACAATCCGACAGACGACCCCTAAAGTTGTGGGTTGATAAAGGAAGTGAATTCTACAACAGAAATGTGAAATCTCTGGGGTTTGATATTTACAGCACGCATAACGAAGATAAGGCCGTAGTGATAGAAAGATTCAACAGGACACTCTTAAAAGCAATTATTCAAGAAATTCACGGAATTGAAATCTCAAAAATGGCTTAAAATATTACCGGTTGTTGTTGACGAATACAATAACAAAATACATTCGTCTTTAGGTGTGACGCCATCCCAATCCTCTAATAACCCGAATATCATAAACTCGAAACAACTTTGAAAACGAGATTAGCAATTTGAATATTAAACCCAAATTCGAGATCGAGTTCGTATTTTTAAATATAAATCATTGTTTCAGAAAGGTTACGTCGGGTATTGGACTAACGAGATATTCATCGTTGATAAAGTAAACAACACATCACCTCCCACGTATGAATTGATCGATCAAGACAAAGAACAAATCATAGGAAGGTTTTATCAAAATGAACTTCAAAAAACTGACTTTTAAAAATGAATCTCGAAAATGAAGATTTAGATGAAAGGTTAAGAAATTTAGATGTCGACAAGCATTTACACTCTCTTAAATTAAGATTTTTTAAATTTAAATGTAAATTTATCTTCAAAATATTACTGAATGTGTTTTATCAGAATGTTATACAAGTTTTTTCAAACACAAACTACGTATATATTTCGTCAATTGGGTCTACTTTCCGCCTACTTCGAAAAAACACCTAAAAAAAATCAACTTAAAAAATGAATGCATTTCTCGATAAATACGGAAAAGACACGACCACAAATTTTCAACTTGTGAAATGGGCCAAGGAGTTGAACGTCTCGCCGTTTTATTATTGCATGCGAGATGAAATTGATGAACTGAAATACAAGAAAGGTAAATTTTACGCCATCACAAAAATTCACACGTCGGATCAAAAAGGAGTTCATCACTCTGCTCTACACAAAGATTCTTCGAATAACTTTTATTTCTTTGATTCTTTCGGTCTAGAACCGACAGAAGAGATAACGAAATTGACTAGTAAACCAATCAAATGTTCTACGTTTCAAATTCAAATGCCAGGACAAAAGCTGTGTGGACAACTGTCGCTTTGGGTTTTATATCGGTTGAGTTTAGGAGAAAAGTTTGAAGAAATTATAATAAATTTAATTCAATAAAAATGGCAAACAAGTTTGGATTAGGGTCTTTACCTCTAGAATCTAAAAATCCCATGAGTTCTACGGCGTTTATAAACAAAGCGAAAGCTTTTTTCGTGGATCAAATCGGAGACACCTTACAAGGGAATATCGATATGAACAATTTCAAAATAACTAATCTAAAGTTTCCAGGAAACGTTAAGGATGCCGTGAACAAGAAATATTTACTGGATCAAATAAACGCAATTCAAATAGATAAGGACCATGTTGAAAATAGAATAAATGACGTGAAAAGATACCTCAGACGAAATATTAAAAATCTTGTGGACGAACCCAAACTACAACAAGAGTTAACGAGTTTGAAACGTCTTATTCAAGTGGATAAAACAAGTCAGTTGCAAAATTTAATATCTAAATTAGACGATAAGATTACGAAGGTAAAAATAGACGTCCAACGTTTAATAGACAACCCAAATGTAAACGAGGATAGATTGAAACTAAAACTAACCGCTTTGGAAAGAAAACTTGGCGAATTGCTAGCAGAACTAGACAGGACCGCGGACAAAACCGAGTTACGAAATTCGATATCCAATTTGAACGAAAAGATCGCGAAGCAAAAATCAGATGTTCAAGATATAATTAACACACTTCCCATTGACAAAGATACGTTGAAATGACAATTGACTGCTTTGGATACTAAAATCACGGACGAATTAGAAAAAGAAGTGGGTGTGATTAAAAACTTTCTTCAAAATAAATTTCGAGATGATATGAAAAATTATATTAAAGAACAGGTCAATCTTTTGGTATCTAGAATTCATGACGATTTTTTGAGACAAGAGAGAAAGTTGAGCAAATTAGAAGCTATTGTCACGGTCAAATCGTATTATTTCAATCTTCCATTCGAAAGCGACACTGTCTTCGATAGAAAAGACCAAAGTTATAAATCAAACAAATATGGATTCAAAGTAGAAATAAAAACAGCTTCTCGCGTATACGGAGAACCTAAAAACCTATTCGATATCGGCGAAACGGAAGCGTTTACTTTTCGAGGTAATTGTCTGATTCAAATAGAGTTTCCCATGAAGGTTAAAGTCAATAAAATAGTCTTCAAACAAACTGCTAAGGCCGTCAAACATATTTCATTATTCAATGATGGCAATTTGGAAGAGAATATACGTTTGATTGATAAAAGGGATCAGGAAATTGAAACGAAAAATGGTAAATATGTAGACACCTTTAAAATGGAAGTAGAAAATGATAAGGATATCATTGGAATCAAAGATTTGGATATGATATTGGAGACGGAAAATCCACCATCAACCAACATTGTCAAAATTCCATGACGCTTACACGCACACGGATCAATAGAATCGAGCAGTCACGAGTTTTTACGAACAACAGACTTTGAATACGTAAAACTGTATTTCGCTTTAGGTGAAAAATACACCTCTATCGATGCTCATAAAAGTCAACAAGAACGAGAGTTTATAGTACATTTAACGTTTGTCGAAGGTTCCGACTCCATCCTTCATGCTGGTGGTTATATTTTTAAAGCCAAGATAAACATCGAAAAAGAAAAAAGAAAATATTCCTATCATCTTAACGAGGACCATACGAAAAAAGAAATGTCGTTAGTGCGCGTAAATGTTTTTACTTTTAATACCCGAATATTTAAGAATACTAGGCCAAACGACCACTCTCTATGGGATATTCCGTGGTTCTATTTATCGGAAATTCACTTAATTTAACGACTTAAAAAATGGAACTCGAAAGCAGACAACAATACATGATAGACAAACAAGAAGAGTTGAAAATAAAGTTGAGACAGTGTAATACATGCAGGAAAACATGGAGTAGAATCGATTCTTTTTTCAAAACAGCGAGCACAGTTCTAACGGTAGGAGTAACGGTGGCAACGGCCGTGACTGGTGGATTAATGCTTCCGGTCATCGTCCCAACCGTATTGGCTGCATTAACAGCCGTTCAAACGACCTCTTGCGGTCTCATCACTTTAGGTTTCACGAGCAAAAAGAAAGCTCATTATAAAAAGAAAACGGATATCTTGAATATGTATCTTAATCAATTGTACATCTTTTTCGAAAGATCGAGAGAAGACAAGAACATAACAGTTGAAGAATTAAAAGAATTCAATGAAATTTTGGACAAATTCCATACAGAAATATCAGCGGTCAAAATAAAGAAATAATCAAAAATATAAAACTTAAAAAATATGAATAAAATCGAACACCATGAAACATTGATAGAAAACGCCCTATTTTCCGATGTTATCAAGGCTATCTCTGATAAATTTAAAACATTCAAAGGACAAATTAAAATAGATGGAGAGATAGTCGAGGAAGGGAATCACAGACAATACATGTCACTCCTCGGTTTCAATGCCAAAACCTTTCACAATATCTTTTCAAATATGGACAAAAAATCGGATGCTTCCGATTGGTATTTTACAGGAAAAATAATTTTAATGAAAGACAATTTCCAAGAAATCAAAAGATCGAGAGTTGGTAGAGGAGGAACTGATCTACTTAAAAAGATAAATGAATACGAAGGCGAAAATTGTTTCATACCTACAGATGGTCACTGTTTTATCAAGTGCGTCAATCGTGTTTTGAACAAAGATTTAACGTGTAAATTTCAAGAATACATCAACGGGTTTTCAAAAGCAAATAGAAAAGGAGTGATGACTTGTGCTAGAATGAAGGAATTCAACAAGAAATTTAACACTTCGTTTCAAATTTATAATCCCAAAAACAGACATTTTCATCCCAGAGACGTTCACGATGAATTAGATTGGGTTTTTTTCTTACACAACTCGCATTTCTGTCTGATTAGAAGAAGCCAAAAAAG